GTGGTTCGGGAATCAGTAAGTTTCCTCCTCGGATCTGTTCGGTTCCCCTTGATAAGTGGTCACCCTCGGGGCAGCGCTGCCCGGGTGTGTGGGACGCGAGCCTTTCCCGTAGCGTTGGCTCTGCTGGGCCTCACCTTCACCACGTGGTATGGGGTGGGGGTGAGGGTGCGGGGGGTGCAGGCGAAGCGATCACACCTGCTGGTCTCTGGGAGCCGCTCCTTCTCCTCCCGGCACAGGGGACCGGTGGGCGGGAGACCGTGTCCCCAGGCCCGTGAGCCTGGCGCTGGGTGAGCAGGTGGGTGCGGGAGCTGCTGGGATTGGTCTCTGAGAATCCTGTCCGGGAGGCGAAGCCCTTCCTGTCAGTACTGACGGCGTCCCCGGGCCGCTCAGCACCGCGGAATCTGCTGCCGGGAGTCCGGGTGCGAATGCATCCGCTGCAGACGGAGGCTGTTCTGGGCGTCCCGGGGGCTGGCGGCTCCTCGGACCTCGGGAGACGGAGGTGGTTGTTCTTTCCTTGTTAATCCCGAGGGTGACGCTGCTGGCACAGCGACAGCAACTCAGCGGGCGCCCGGCAGCGCGCCGCCTCTGAGCCAGGCCGTCCCCCAGCTCCCCACGCAGCTCTGTAATCCGCCATCACCCCGCCAGCTGGACCTGACACCACGCCCTGCTCAGCTCTCTTTTTAAATTTGTTTTTATGTTTTTATTGATTTCAGAGAGGAAGGGAGAGGGAGAGACAGAAGGAAACATTAATGATGAGAGACAATCATGGATCAGCTGCCTCCTGCAGGCCCCACACTGGGCAGCCCGCACATGTGTCCTGACCAGGAATCGAACCGTGGCCTCCTGGTTCATAGGTCGATGCTCGACCCTGAGCCCCGCCTGCCCGGCTCCCTGTCCTCTCGGAGGAAACGGGCTCCCCCGCCACCTGCTGAGCCGCTCTGCCTGGCGGGGCTCCTGGCTCTGAGCAGACCTTCCTGATGGGTGCGCAGGACTGGCCGGCGGGCGCTGGCGCTGGGACCTCTGCAGGGAGGTGGTGCCCTAGGCCAGTGGTCGGCAAACCGCGGCTCGAGAGCCACATGCGGCTCTTTGGCCCCTTGAGTGTGGCTCTTCCACAAAATACCGACTTCTGCACGTGGGCCACGAAGTTTCAATCGCACTGTATGTGCGTGCCCACACGTGGTATTTTGTGGAAGAGCCACACTCAAGGGGCTGAAGAGCTGCATGTGGCTCGCTAGCCGCAGTGTGCCGACCACGGCCCTAGGCTGCGGAGAGCCACATGCGGCTCTTTGGCCCCTTGAGTGTGGCTCTTCCACAAAATACCGACTTCTGCACGTGGGCCACGAAGTTTCAATCGCACTGTATGTGCGTGCCCACACGTGGTATTTTGTGGAAGAGCCACACTCAAGGGGCTGAAGAGCTGCATGTGGCTCGCTAGCCGCAGTTTGCCGACCACGGCCCTAGGCTGCAGGGAACACGGTGTTTTTAAGGGAAACCCATTTCCTGGTTCGCTGGAAGAGTGCGAGCTGTTCTCCGAGCGTGAGCCTGGCCCCCGCGTCGCAGTCTCATGTCGTCGTTAGCCCTGTGTGTTTGGGTCTCAGGTTGAATGTTCGTGGCCCCAGTTTTGTTTTCCAAACACAGGTGGTGGGAGAGCGTCGGGACCTCCGCTGTTTCTCACTGATGAGAAGGCGTCTTGTCCTGGGGGGACCAGGCCCGATGTTGGAGGTGCCCGACCCTGGGGGGAGGTGTCACAGGCTCTCCTGATCCCTAGCCCACCCAGCAGAGGTCTGCTAAGGTGCGTCGTGCCTGGGGGGTACCCACAGCCGCATCGGGTCCTCCGGGAGCCCCTGGCCCTGAGGCATGGGGGACCCTGAGCACTGGCCCCGCTCAGCCTCCTCCCTGAGCTCAGCCCTGGGCAAGTCCCTCCCAGCCCCCTGGCTCCGCCTCTTCTCTGCTCTCTGACCTGTGAGCTCTGAGGACGCTGGAGGGGCTCTGACCGAGACCCATATCACCCATCACAGCGGGGGCTGTGTCCTCCACTGACAGCCAGACCGTCCCCTTCCCTGGGGGCACGGCCACGGCCTGACCTTCCCCTTCCCCCCAGCTCCACCCCAAGGTCCTGTTTCCCGGAAATGAGGAAGGAGACGGGCAGGGGTGCTCATGGCCAGGACAGTGGCGTAGAGACCCCGGCTGCCATTCTCCTCCAGCCACGGGGTCCCCCATCTCTGCTTCTCCATCTGCGGGGTCCCCGTCTCTGCTCCTTCATCTGGGGGGTCCCCCGTCTCTGCTCCTCCATCTGCGGGGTCCCCCGTCTCTGCTCCTCCACCTGCGGGATCCCCCAGTCTCTGCTCCTTCACCTGCGGGATCCCCCATCTCTGCTCCTCCGGCCGCGGGGTCCCCCGTCTCTGCTCCTCCGTCCACGGGGTCCTCAGCCGTCCCCCTGTAGAGCGGGAGGCAGACCGTCCCATGACGCTGTCGTGAGCCTGGAAGGCATGCCATGCCCGAGGTGCTGGCTCAGAGGCGCGCGGCGCCCAGAGCTGAAAAGCCAGTTGTGGACGCGGAGCCCGGAGCCTGGACCGGATGCCGGGCGTGGGGGGCTCGGGGCCTCTCTGGAAGCCGGTCCTGTCTCCCCATCCGCGAGGTCTGAACGCAGGGTGGCCTGTGTCCACACATCTCCTGTCTCAGTGGCTCCCAAAAGTAGGCGCCGAATCCCAGCCCTGGGAAAGCACAGAGGGAGAGGCCCTGTGAAGGGGCCCAGTAGACCCCGCGCTGGGCCGGCCTGGTTCTGGGGGGAAGGCTTTCTGGGGGCACAGGCCGTGGTGGGTGGGCCTGGTTCCGGGGGAAGGCTTTCTGGGGGCACATGTGGAGGGCAGACTGGGAGGCGGCGAAGGCTTTCTGGGGGCACATGTGGAGGGCAGACTGGGAGGCGGCGAGAGGGGAGGGAGCAGCATGTGTGAGGCCTGCACAGGGGGACCTTGCTTCTCCTGGTGCCAAGGGGGGCAGGTGGGTGCTCGCGGCAGAAAGCTCAGGGCCGTAGGCGCCATGCGGGGTGCTGTGTGTTTTTAAACACATACCTTTTCATTGATTTCAGAGAGGAAGGGGAGGGAGAGGGAGATAGAGCATCAGTGATGAGAGGATCGTGGATCAGCTGCCTCCTGCACGCCCCACACTGGGGATCGGGCCACAACCCGGGCATGTGCCCTGACCAAGAATCGAACCGTGGCCTCCCGGTTCAAGGTCAGTGCTCAACCCCTAAGCCAGGCGCCGGGCTCTTCTCTGTCTGGACCTTTTCATGTGTGGAATGTGGGACACCCCTTCCTCCACCCACCGCTGAGTCACGGCCCGAGAGCTCGGCCTCTGAAACCTCGCACAGCTGTGCCCGGTCCCTGTCCGGGGAGCAGAAGTGCCCGCTCCCTCTCTGGGCACGTATATATTTTGGAGCTTGTTTTCTAACAAACCTACATTGGACATTTTGTCATTTCATATTACATTCTTGTACAGTGTACCTAACTGGTTTCAGTGTTTGAAGGCACAATCGTGTATTGAAACTGCCTCTTACTGACCTGCGGCCGGGCTATCTCGGAGCATCTCTGAACCTCTCACCGAGCTTGCTTGTGGGGTGATTTCCTGAGGATAGATTTCTGGAAATGGATGCCCACCTCTGACACCTGAGGCGTGAGTGCCCCGGGCAGGGCTGCTCGGGGGAGAATCTAACCTGTTGATGGCTAGCTCCCTCCTTGGTCCTCTAACCAGAGCTGGTGGCAGTGGGGAGAGGGAGGGGCAGAGGGAGCGGGAAGGGGGGAGAGAGGGGGGAGGGGGAGGGACAGGGGGAGAGAAGGGGGAGCGGGGAGAGGGAAGTGGGGCGTCGGGCACTCCCCCTGCCTCTGCTCTGACACCTGCCCCGTAAGCTTCTCAGAGCTGCGACTCTCTGGGATGCTCTGTTTTCTCGGCTGCAGAGTTTTGAGGGCTGAGTGTGGTGCCGTCCCCAGGTCATGCAGAGCCCAGGTCCTGTTTAGGAAGTGCTCGCTGTTACTATCAGACACCATGGGCCTGTGTAAAACAGGCTCTCGTGTGTAATAACTGCATGTAGTTACATGTGCGTGTAACACACACTCCTGTGCACACTTCAGAGAGTAAAGTGCCCAGACAAAGGCAGGTGGCGCCTCACTGAACGCCTGGAGGAGGCGGAAGTGTTCAGACCGGTTGTCGGAGTGGGTGACACATTGGGGTGTTAGAACCCCCTGCAGGGAGGCGGGGGGCCGAGAAGGGAGAGTGTGGCTGGAAAGAACGTGGAAAAGCAGGAAGGTTGTGCGCGGACATGAGGGCTCCTCTTGCTGACAGCCTCCTGCCTCGCAGTGGCCGGGCCGCGGGGTGGGCGGGACGGGTGTTCCGCCTGATTCAGTTTGTCCTGATGTCGCCCCGGCACATCCTCCCTGTGATGGACCAGGGACCAGAGCTGGGGCTGCATTCACCCTGGAGCCTGGGCACTGCCTGCTGCGGGTCCGGGGGACGACGTCCATGGTGACCCAGAGGTGCTGCTCGCTCCCATCTCGACCCTAGAAACGGCCCCTGTGGGGAGCACATTGGGGCTCTTTCTTCCAGAGACATTTCCTCTGTTTTCTTTTTTAAATATGTTTTTATTGATTTCAGAGGGGGAGAGGGAGAGATAGAAACCTCAATGATGAGAGAGAATCGATGATTGGCTGCCTCTTGCACGCCCCCTACTGGGGATCGAGCCCACAACCCAGACCCTTCAGTCTGCCGCCAGGAAGCAGATTCTGAACATATTGGGATAATGCTCCGTAGAATGGAGGGTGTGTATGTGTGTGTGTGTGTGTGTGTGTGTATGTGTGTGTGTGTGTTTAACCTTGTTGTATACATGACAAGCAAAAGAGGAGATGTAAGTGGGTTACATGAACTCCGCTGGTGATAGATGAGGGAGGCGGGAGAAAGCAAAGCGGGGAGGGGC